TATCTATCTATCTATCTATCTATCTATCTATCTATCTATCTATCTATTTATCTATCTTTACTCACTCCTTTCCATTCTCTCTCCCAGTTGTCCATTTTTTCCTCTCCTATCCTGTGAACCGTTTATGCCACTGAAGTTGATGGCGGCAAGAGCTATGGATAATCTGGATGCCTCTTCTACATTATAGTGAAGATATGCAATTTAATTCCCTTCAGCACTGCAGTTAGTGAGAAATCTTTAAATGGGAGAATATTGCGTGTGCCCTAGAGTTTCTGTAAGGCACTCTCATGTATTTTGTCTTCCGCCAAAGAAAATGCACGTCTCTAAAAATCAATAGGCCTCTAGACTTCACTTTAAATGGAATAGATTTTATTTATTGATTTTATCATAACAGTTTCAAGAAAATACAACTTTAAGTCTAGCAGTGTAAATTAGAGAAAACAATCTCTCACTGCCTTTGTCAGCAGTAAACGCTAAGAACCACAAAGAAAGAAATGCCTATTTTCCACTAACTTTGGTGCAAAATCTTCTATCATGCTGATATAAATTTATGTGAGTGAAAAACCTGGTATGATATAGACCACCCTAGTCTTCCGTATCACATCCCAATTTCTGCTCATTTGGATTTTACAGTGTAAGAAATACCCCCCCCCCCAAAAAACTAATTTATACTGTAATCAGAAGCAATCCACTCATAACCTCACATATTTTCCCGACAGTACCTTGACTCGCTGCCTCAAGATGCCAGCTTATCTCTGAAAATGGCAAAGGATGAAATTGGAGATATTGATAGCAACAATCATAAGGCATAGCTGCAGATGCATAATTTTCATCCAATATAAATAAGTACTTGTAGAAATTCAGATCTATTTACTAATAAAGAAAAGCATGTACCTTCACCATCCATAGGATTAAAAGAAACTACACTCAGTACAGAACTGAAAACATTGTTTCAGAATTAATCTTTTCTCCTCTCCAAGATAGATCAGCTGTAGCTCCCCTTGATAATCCACATGCCACTTCGATACTGGTATAATTTTCTTTTCTATAGAGGCATTTGCCAGTATGGTCATGTCTAGTAATTAAGATCTGTGCTACTTTTTCCTAGCATTGTTCTTTCTGTTCTAGTTCTCAACTTTTTTGTTCTCTAGTTCTTTCAAAGCTTTATGCTTTGGATTGTTCCTATCTTCACAAGCAACTTTTGCCTCAGAATATTTAGATACATCATCTCTTAATCTAATGGGAACATACAGTACTCTAATTTGACTAAGATGTGTGAAGTATTTGCCAATTTTTAAAATGATAAACAGCGGGAATCTAATGAACAACCTATACTCCAGACATTTCTTTTAATTTTCTGGGACCTGTTTTCTGTTCTCCTTACTATCAATCACAATAATTTCAACAATTATGCCCTATTGTTCTTCATATTCCTCTCAAAATCTCTATTTTTCAAACTAATTGTGTGTGCATGTACTTTTAGTTTTACTGGTTAGAGAGCCCTGTCATTTCCACATTGCCTCATTCCTTGGCATATGCATTCTTCTCTAAACCCATCTCTTTTTTTCCCCTGGGAGGGCAATGAAAAAAACAGCATACCAGTCCAAGCAATAGAAACTAAATATATTAATTGAGCCATTTTTCTCTTTTGAAATACAGATGCTTCTGAACGTGTTAGAAATAAAATCTGCAAGTTTGGTTATGAATGATAACTTAAGACATCCGTGGAGATGATACAGCATGAATCTGTAGTGTGTAGTCTTTGACAACACATTTTTCTCATTGTCTGAAATATATGCAGTTTATTAATTTGATATACAAGTGAGCAAAGGATGACAGTTTTAAATGTTGATGCATGTTTGTATTCAGTATGAGACTATATCAGTTTGCCAACCCTTTCCTATAGTTGCAACCCAAAGCAGGTTTTTCAGGATAATTGTTTTCCAGCTTTAAACAACCATGACCTAAAAAAAGAAACAACCAACCGTTTTGTCCATATTCAAAAGGAATACATTTTGGAAACTGAATGGTGAATTCCCCTTTTCTCCTTTACAGTCTTCAAAACACTAACTCTGAGTCTAGAGAAAAACTTATTGCTGGGCTATGACAACAAAGTCTAGGCTTCATTTGATTCCTTTTTGTTATCTGGGATACAACAAGAAAAAGAAGCATAAGAAGGGGATCAGAAGAACTAGAAGGTTAAATAAATGACAAAGGAGATAGAAACTTAATTTGTGAAAATATTATCTTTAACACTGTTGCATAGCTCCAAATAGTCCCAGTCAGTCATTCTCTCTCTCTCCCTCCCCCCTCTCCATCCATTCCTTTGTATAATTGCATACCTGGTTAAAGGAAGAATCGCTATCAGAACAGTTATCTGCATAATAACTGTTGGGTGGTTCTGTTTTCACTTTTCTTTGCATCTCTTTGTAGCGCATTTGATCTTCTTCAAACTTGTTAATTAGCGATTCAACTACAACCATCATGACATTCTTCAGCGAATGCATCATTTCTCTATACCTTCAGTTAAAAAGTTATTTAAAAAACAAATTATTAAAATTCATGTGTTGTATCATGTACAAAGTAACTTCCTAACACTCCAAGTTAGGAAAAAAATGTTACTGAAACCGATGAGTACTGTCTAAAGAAAAGTATACACTGAGATGTAAACATGCAATCTTACATATACTTATTCAGAACCAAGTCCAACTGAATCCAGCAAAATTCATTACCATATATGAGTTCAGAATTGCATCCTACGTCATTCTGAATTCAAAATATTATTTTCCACTAGACCAGTTCAAGATAATATAAAGATGGACATTACAGACAGTCCTCGACTTACAACATTTCATTTAGTGACTATTCAAAATTACAACAGAACTGCAAAAAGTGACTTATGACTGTTTTTGTCATGCCCCGGTGGAGACTGACTCTGAGGGAGAGGAGGAACAGCCGGCAGGGAGTGAAAGTGTGGCTCTGGAGGTCGTGGAGGAGGCTGGGGAAGGGCAGAGGCCGGCTGAGCAGTCAGAGGAGGACCCAGGCCCATCCTCTATCCATCCTAGGGCAGGCAGGGAGGAGAGGATAAGGGAGAGACGTGGTCTACTCAGGAGGAGAGGGCCTTGATCCTCTTCATGGGCTGCAGGTGTGAGAACTGCATAAGAGTTTGGACCTGTGTTCTGGCAAACGCTGGAGACAAAGCGTGTTTTATTTTGATTTGAGGTTATCTTGGTTGGCATCCTTCCAACAGACTGTGCCTTGTTATCTCCTTGAATTTAGTAAATAGTTCTCTTGTTCCGTTGTGGAAATTTCATCATTGTAGTTTGTTTGGTTTTTATTTTTACCTCTATCTGCTCATTAAGTTCAGACTGTATTGCTTTCTTTTGAAGATTATTTTTGAGTATGTTTTAGCTCCAACTGAGAATTATTGAACAGTAGGGCCAAGTTGGAGGCATTAAAGGACATTTATTTACGTTTTGGATTTTGTTACGTTTGTGTTACACTTTGGGTCATCACAGTTTTTCACACTTATGACTATTGCAGCATCCCCATGGCCATGTGATAAAAAAAATCAGACGCTTGGCAACTGACTCATTTATGATGGTTGCAGTGTCCTGAGGTCATGTGATCCCCTTTTGCAACCTTCAGAAAGCAAAATCAATGGGGAAGCCAGTTTCACTTAATAACTAACTTAACAATGGCAGTGATTCAATTGCGGCCAGAAAGCTTGTAAAATGGAGCAAAACTCACTTAACAAATGTCACATTTAGCAACAGTAATTTGGGGCTCAGTTGTGAGTTGTAAGTCGAGGACTACCCAAATACTTCATTTCCTAAACAAAAATACCCTGCTTTATTCAAAAATCCAAATTAGTATTGGAAGAACACCATCCAACGTTTTAGATTCCCAATTATTTAGCAGAATACAGGCATGATACCTAAACATTACAAAACATCAAGGTTATTTTTAGTAGCAATTCTTGTAATTCTTAGGTGAATGTATTCAGCACTTGTAATCATCTGTGCGTTTTGGTTGGGATTACTGTTTATATCAATTTGTGATTACAACTGTATTACTATGCACTAGCAGATTCTAATGCTGTTATTTATGCATTTCCCTAAACAACATTTCCACCTCTTAGAATGGTATGTTGTGTTAATAAACCAAGGAGAAATGTATGAATGCACCACACTTGCATAATTCTGGTGAGATTATGTAAAACATACGAAATTGTCAAAGACTCTTATGAAATAAGATGAATTGAACAGAAACCTTGAGATATTGTATATTATTTTCAAGCATAGAATATGAGGGAGGGAGGGAGGGAAGGGAGGGAGGGAGGAAGGAATTAAAAATTACAAATATATATTTACAGAGGCTTTAGCTTTTGCTTTGGATATTGTATAATTAGAGGCCCTCACACAGGTATGAATGCTGCATGACTAGAAGATAAATAATATTTATGCTTTTTAAGGACTGAATTCTTCAATTAAAAAAAAAAGTACCTTGCCTAGCTAGCTCAATTCCTGAATGTAAATAAATGGCTTATTAAAAATACAGCAGGCCACACATGCTAATTTATAAAAGCAATTAAGTACTGATTAAGTAACAGAGTTTTTCACAATGACATTTCTAATTTCCTTTTACAGAATGTGGCCATCCACATATCACTGCAATTAACTATTAAAACATTTGTAAGATTGATCTCGTCATTAGAGTTGGACATTGAACATTCCTGCACAGCGTTCCTTTCGCTCTTGATATTTCTGCCTTTCTATCATATGAACTACTGCCTGACAGTTTTATATGTGATTTTACTAAAAACAATACACCTTTCCCATTATATTTTGTCTGACACAAATATTTCCTTGCTTGTTGGGAAAGAAACATTTCATTAAGCATATTTGTTTTCTTTCTGTTATCAGTTGTAGCAATTTGTTAATACAGTTTCAATTTTTAAATGGCTACCATTTATCACTAAAACCATAAAATCTAAATTCTAATCAAAAGATTATCTATGTGTGTGAAAGTACTAATGTGTGACCTGTATTGCCAAGCTCAGAAAACAACAGCACATCCGTTAGCATTATCTTCAGAAATGAAAATCTCCCTTAGTACAAATAGTCCTTGACTTATAACCACAACCAAGCCCAATATTTCTGCTGCTAAGCAAGACATTTGTTAAGTGAATTTTGCCCCATTCTGCGACCTTGCTTACCAGTTATTAAATGAATCATTGCAGTTCTTAAATTAATAACATGGCTGTGAATTTGGCTTACCCATTGACTTTGCTTATCAAAAAGTCGCAAAAGATGATCACATGACCCTAAGACACTGCAAACATCATAAATAAGAGCCAGTTGCCGTGTATCTGAATTTTGATCATGTGACCACAGGGAAAAATAATAAATCATCACTTTTTACAGTATTGTTGTAACTTTGAATTGTCACTAAATGAACCATTGTAAATTGAGGATGACCTGTAGTATTATTTTATCCTGTACTTCTTTAAGATATCCTGCACTATAAAATTGTTAAAGATAGGCAAAACTTTAATGTTGAAAAATTAGTATTCAGTGAGCTTTAATCTTTGTCCTTCTGTTATTTTTTTAAAGACATTTTTTATGTTTGCTTAACACCCCAGAGGGGATTATATTCAGAACACATCCTTCCTTTGTACTACTATTTGGAAGGAATCTTGTATCGCATAAGTTGACTATATTTCTCACACTGCTTTTTCCTAAAGGTATTTTATGTAATAAAGAACGGTAAAGCTGAATATTGGAATTTGCTTGAGAGGAAAACAGGGATAGAATCGTAAACTGGTATGGGGCCATTTTAGCAATCAATACTAATCCTTTGTTCAGTGCAGAAAAGCATCGCATTGCCTAATGGCAAGTTTGAAGGCCAGAGCCGTGTCACTTTTCAGTAGTTCCTACCTGCCTGAAGTTCACAAATTAAGAATGTTATTTTGAAAGCACACAAATATTTTATTTATTTGTGTGTGTGTGTGAAATAGGAGCTACATGTTGATTTGAAAAGGCAGATTTCTCCAAATATGTAAAATGAACAATAATCTGATAAAACAAGGAGCAAGGTAAACAAGAAATTTGTAAGAGTGGTTACAATATTCAGAAAAAAAACACCATAAGGAATGTTATAAGACACTCAAACTCAAAAACAAGGAGAAAGGAATAAGTTACAGGTAGTCCTTGGTTTACAACAGCTCACTTAGGGACCTTTTGATGTTACAACAGCACTGAAAAAAGTGACTTATGACCATTTTTTACACTTATGAACGTTGCACAGGGGTGGGATGCTACCGGTTCTGCCCGGCTCTTTAGAACCGGTAGCTCTGAAGGGCAGCAGACACCGAACTGGTTCTGTGTTTGCTGCTGTTTGGCCCACCCGCCCGCTTGGGCTCTTACCTGACCTTTATTTCCTGCTTTTTCAACCTCAACTGCTTTGCGCATCACAGCTGAGGTTGAAAAAGCAGGAAAAAAGAGGCTTTTCAAACGCTGCACACTAGTGTGCTGCGCTTTTCAGCTCTCCGGGCGGCACAGCTTAAAGTGTTTTTACATGCGTGTGCAGCAAAACAGTCACCGAACCGGTAGTAACCCCAGTTGAATCCCACCCCTGCAGCATCCCCATAGTCACATGATTTACATTTGGATGCTTGACAACTGACATTTATAACATGAGGTCATGTGATCACTTTCTGCAAACCTTCTGACAAACAAAGTTAAGGGGCAAGCCAGATTCACTTAACAATGGTGCTACTAATTTAACAACTGCACTGATTCACTTAACAAAATGTGGCAAGAAAAGTTGTAAAATGGGGCAAAACTCATTTAACAAATTTCTCAGTTAGCAACATAAAGTTTGGGCTCACTTGTGGTAATAAATTGAGGACTACCTGTAATTAGGCATTTGCTTTTGGAAATTGAGTTTTAGATATGTTTCTACATATACTTACTCCTTTGATTCCCGGGTCTTTTTAGTAACATGCTGTACCAGAGTGTCATAATTCGAACCTTCCCCCTGATTTTGGGCTGATGTACATTTTTCAGTTTCTTCTTCTATTACGGACCCCAAGATGTTACTTATATATTCTCTAAGATACTTTACAAATTCATAGCTGTAATAACAATTAAAATGTAAAACATTATGCTTAATGTCAATTTGTTTTTAATAATAAACATATTTCATCAAGCAACTATAAGTATATTCGATAACTATGGTAAAGACTACATGGACATTTTGGAAGAATTTTAGAGATTAAGTGAAACTGGACATTAAATTCAGACACCAAATAGCATCTGAGACCTGTATGTCAACTGAAAATGTTGAATGTCTTTTCCCCTAATTAAAGAAAATGATTGCTTAAAGCAGAGTTCACCAACCTCTGGGTCATGGCCCACTACCAGGCTGTGGCCTATTCAGATTTGGCCCACAAGTGGCTGGCCAGTGTGTGCGCATGTGCAGCTCAACTTGTGGAAGCAGCGGGACAGCAGGCAGTCATACTTGTCCATGCCAGCCTGCTGCTTGCGCAAGTTGAGCTGTGCACATGCAGACCGGGCCATCACTCAAGCAAGGGTTATGTGTGCACACGTACACACACCAGCCCACAGCTCATGCGACTGTTGTGGCCTGCCAGCAGCTGATGGAGCTGGCAGAAGAGTCAGACAGCTAGTGAGGAGGTTGGGGAGGAACCTGGGCCTGGCCTGGAGGATGAGGAAGATCTGGATGAGGCTGCTGCATCAGAGGCAGAGATGGGGCCAGGGCAGGCTGGCAGTCAGCATCTGCCTTCAGACTCAGACAACAGTGAGGTGGGGGAGCTCATGGAACCGGTTCCCAGCCTGCACATGCACAGAGCTAGTAGAAGACAAGAACAATTGAGAAAGCAGGGTTGACTCAGGAGTAAGGCCACACCTCGGAGATGAATGGCCCCTCCCATAGGACATAAAAGAGGAGCGAACGGGACATGAGCTTTTGCAGGAAGCAATTAGTTTGTTTGCCCAGAACATACACTTTGAAAAATCCTGTTTGACGTTTTTGCCCTGTGTCTGGCAATTAGTTCTCTGGCCGCATTCCAAGTGTGATAAGTGGGTGTTTATCAACATTCCCTGAAAGACTGTATGTGAAGTCTTATGAATGAACGTAATTCACAGCTGTGAAATAAGAGGTTTTGCTGGGATGAAGATTGTGTTCTATGCTTTCTAAGGAAGCCTAGAAAGCCTAGAACAGTGACCCAGTTCCCCTTCCCCACCCTGCCAGGCCACCAGATTAGAGAAACTGATGGTTGGAATAACAGAAGAAGTAAATACAAGTACCCACTTTATGCCATATTCCAAAACTTGAAATAGTGCAATTAATATCTATTAGGCACATTATTTACAATAATTATACAGTCCTGTTTTCTTGACAAAATTTTAGAAGTAGTTTGTCCTGGCCTGCTTACTAGGGCTGAGAGGAAATGAACAGCCCAAGGTCACCCAACTGACTTTGTACCTAAAGCAGGTCTAGGATTTGTGGGCTCCTGGTTTCTAGGTTGGTGCCTTAGCCACTAAGGAAGAGTTCTGATGGAAGAGTTTCCCTTTTAAAATTACCACAATATCACAAAATCATGTCAACGAATTACTTATGAAAGTTCTCATCTGTTTCTTCCAAATGGAGTAGAATCTCTTCGGCACATTCTACAGATGGTGCTCCTGTGATTTTTTCTTTGACACTTTGCAATAACTGTCTGAGCATAGGTTGCAAGAGAGCTTCATCTTCAATAGAAAAATGAGACATCTACAGAGAGAAACACAGAAGCAAAATATGAGTGATCGACCCCTGCAAGATCTTATTAACCAGCTATAAAGTAAACAGAATTTATCTGTTGGTTTGTAAATACTGTGTGGGGATCTTGAAAGTCTACACTCTACCCCTTCTTAAAAAGTCAGATGAGAGAAACTAGAAATTACAGGTTTTAATTTATGGCCCCATTCTCTGGAATATCCTGTCTAAGAATTCCATAAATAGTACTCTTTCTTAGTATCAAAGAAAATATTAAAGATGTGATTCTTCAGGAGATAATGCTTACTACTTTAGACAGTTGAATGTGTGACATATATTGAAGAATTGTAATAGTACATTTAATGATATATGGTTTTCAGTTTATCATTTAGTCATATTTTGTCTTACACTATAAATATTCTGTAGTCTGTTAGGTATAAAAATGAAGTAAAAAATTAAATTATACTATGTGTATAAACATCGAAGGCAAACGAAAGAATAATATCCTAAAGATTAACAAGGAAGTCACAATGATGGACTATCTCTAACCTCAGATATTCTACCTCCTTCTGCAGCAAGGGAGCATAAGGCAAAAAAAGAACCATGTGTCCAACTTCAGGGTGAAAAAATGGAATTCAAAATGTTGCCTGCTAATATAATTGATGTAGTTCCCAGGTAATTCTAAGCCAAAATTCTATGAGTTTACTTATTGCTTCACAATGTCTAAAATACCAAATATTTACAAATAAACTTGGGATTCTTAACCAACACTTTAAATTTTGCCTAACAAGTACATGAAAAATTTAGATTGTTCTCAAACATGTCACAGATACTATTAAGAGTACCAAATTCTCTTAATTGGCTAATAGGGAGGAATCCCAACTAAAGATTGCTTGTGCCTCTTTTCACTTATTAAAGTAAAATTTGAGGTTCCTTTCCACCACTAGCCAATTGATTTCTTGAAGCCTGCATTATTTTTATTATTTTGCATTTTTGTAAATATATTGCTAATTAATTAAGAGAGCTTGTTTGGTAGAATAGTTAAAAGTGCTGGCCTAGAAATCAAGAGATATGAGTTCTCAGCCTCTCTTAACCCAATGGGTTACTTTGTGCCAGAAACACTCTCTCTCAGTCCAACCCACAACACAGGGTTATTGTGGGGAAAATACAGTATTGTGGGTAGGTGGCAGGAGTATTAGTTATGTTTGCCACCTTGAAATAAATATAAAAGGTGGGATGAAAATAATTAAAATAATTTGATAAGATTTCACTTATCAACTATCAAATTTTGCTCATTTGTAACTATTAAATGGAAAAAAGGACGCTGTCTCTTCCTTAAAAATGTAGCTGAATATGTAGTACAATAACTGGAATATATGATCTCAGTTTGCCTCTGGCTGGGAAACAATTAAGAGTATAATTGTTTTTACAGGATATGGATAATTAGAGTACATCCACCAATGTTTGTTTCAGATTTGTTGTATTGTATATCCTAAATGAGCAAAAACTTTTATGCAAGACCAAGGAATTTTATAGGAACCTCATTTGGAATGTTACCTCTTTTTACAGTCTGCCCCAATTGACAGGAATTACAGGAGCTGAAGACATATGTTGTACAAAAAGTATTCACTTAACAGAGAATAAAAACTTCAGTAAGACAGTTTAATTTCACCGAATGAAATTCCTATTTGAGTAAAGCCATACAACCATAACCAGCTATGGGCATCCTTTGCGTAACCCTACGTAATCCTTCGTAAACCCTACAAAGATCTGAGTTTGATTCCTGATCACTACTGTGACACATACATGTTGTGGGATGGGGATGGGTATTGGTGGCAACAACATACAAGTAATTTGCCCTTGCATTTTTTGGAGATATTACTATTCAGTCTTAAGGAATGATTTCCCATCCGAGTCGTAATCAAGCTTAATCCCGTTTAGCTTTTCCCAAATCAGCCACCTTTGACTAGTCACTGCCACCTGCTGCCATCAACCAGCGAATTAGTATCCGTTTTTCTTACAAAAGGGGCAAAGCTAAATTTGGAGTAAATCCTGTCGAGCCCAATAAAACTTCCTTCCAAGGATACCTAATCATGCACGAAGTATCAAAATCATGTGCTGACATTCTCTTGATTTTAAGGGGATGGGCTTGGCGTTAACACAACGTTGGAACAAATGATTCCTTCGAAGCAAGAAATGCGAGATCGGGTAAAAAGGAGCTGGCACATGAGAATCTGCCGCTCTCTTAAATGCGTGGATGTAGAAGCATCCCAGGTGCGGTAGGGTTATGGAGCCCTGGACACGGGAAACAGGACTACAACGTTGAAAATCTCTGTAATACGGATAAACCTATATATAAGCGGGTTTGGAGGGGGGAATTATGATTACCATTAATCTGTGTTTTGCCGGGCCGAAGCTCTGTTCAAAGAGGGACCGCTCCAGCCAGCAGCCGACAGTCCAGATCCCAGGAAAATGCCCGGGATGTGAGGCTGGGCGGACCTGACGATGGCGGCAACGGCGGCGGCAACAGAAACGGATGAGAAAATAAGCGAGGCACTCAGGAAGGAGAAACGGGGGCAGTGCTTCCGCGCCAGAGTCGCAGGCACAGACGCCTCGCCCCTCTGGTCTCCTATTGGTCCAAACAGAGTGGGGGAGTGGCCATAAAACTTGGATATAAGGATGCTTTTACGCCGCGAGTTAAGGGTTTGGATAGCTAATGTTAAGTGTGGCGGGCGGTCTTGTGCAATAGTAAGGCTTCCCCCACCATCTTCGAAAAGTAATCCTGCGTATTATATCATTACTGAAACTATGGTGGATTTACTCCACGGTAAGCTCAAGTTTCTAGGTTTCCCTCCCTCTTTAGCCAAATGCTCGTCCTAGTAATGTAAGAGTGTATGGTACCTGACTCTCAACTCTGGGTAGAACACGATTTATCCAGGCGGGGTAGTGATCAGAAAGTATATAAAATATAGATTTTATTTTCCATATAAGGTTTTCTAACCATGTTTTAATAGTTTTTTTTTCTTCTGGGCTCCTTTGCTTATGTTGTGAATTGTTTTCGTTTAATACTATATTTTGTAACATCCATTTTACTCTCTGAATTCAGAAGAGACCTAACCCTAATTTTAAGTGGATTTGCACGCCAATGGGATTCTCAAGTATTTTACCAGGAAATATCGGGCTGGCTCAAAAAAAAAACAAGAGACCTCCTAAGCATACTGATGCAGTATGAATCCATTGGTGACATCCATTTTGCTCAGAGTTCATGGTGACCTAAACCTAACACTTAAGTGGGTTTGCCCCCAATGGGATATTTGTATGCATTTTTGCAGGAAATGTAGATGGCCATGCTCAAAAAATCAGTGACCTCGTAAGCATAATGGTGAACCGGCAAATAACACCTCTTTGGAGATTTTACAGTCTCTTTCCCCTGCCACACCCACCAAGCCACGCCCACAGAACCAGTAGTAAAAAAAGGTTGAATCCCACCACTGCTCCTCATCCTAATTAAGTGACCCAATGAAAGTTTCCCAAATGTTTTACCTGGAAACATAGATAGGATGGGCTTGGAAAGTGTGCCCTTTTAAACATATTGATGTGCTATGAACCCATTGGCAACATACATTTTGTTCTCCAAGATCATGTAATCAATCCTAGGTATGTTGGCCTTCTAATGGAATTTTCCCATATATTTTACCAGGAAACAGATAGATAGGTCTCAAAAAGTGAGGAACCCTGGTAGCATACTTCAAATGCTGTATTGCAGGCTAACTCTTCCCAAAGTCTGGAATTTCACTCTGACTCAAGGTTGACTCAGCTTCCAAGGTCGGTAAAATAAGGACCCAGATTGTTGAGAGCAATATGCTGTCTTTTTAAAATACTCAAGATGCTTCTGGACATTAAATGTTGATTAAAAATATCCCAATCTTTTGAAAAAGTAAAACACTATATTAGATGCTAAGAAAACTACTTTTAGCAAAAGTAGCATTCCTTTTCTGTTTTCCTTTTACAAGATTTTAATGAGATGCTATATTGCCTCTCTATTTTTCTAGCTTTTGCTTTTTGCTAAATCACTGAATAATTATATTGCTTCTACATTTCACTTATTCTTCTTCTGTTTATTCGCCTTATGGTGGTGTTAGATATTAGATTGCATATAACTCAGTATAATACCAAGCTATTGATTTTCATCATTTAAACAGATGTTTCTGTTGCATATGGGAAAAGATATGAGCAAAATATTGTAAATTGTTGATATTTCTTCTTTAACATGTATTGAAGGAAGAACAAAATGCAACGACAACCCTCATTTCACGAATATATTAACTACAAATAGTACCAAAATGAGGCAATGCATGTTTGAATTCCATGTCTTTTGTGAGTTTTCACCGTTAAATTTGCAACAGATGGTGCAATGTTATGGCCATATTGTTTGTTTCTGTATTTTCTGTTCTTCCTAAACAATGGAGGAATAGCATAATCCAGAACTCTGCTTTGCTACTGTGTTGTTAATATACTTGTTTTCAATGAGTCACTCCTGAGCTAAAATTTGCTTACTTGAGAAATCCAGAATGAAAATTTTTGACTGGGGATGTGGATATTATGAAAAATTATGCTTGCCTATATGTGTATGTCCACATCTGTCTGACTTCCATGTATGTTTCTGTCTGTCTTCTATCAATAGATAATTACCGGTAATCACATGAACTTAGAATGACACATAAACTAAGCCTCACAAATAGGCTTTTGAATTGAGTATCTTACCAGCACACAGTTCCGTTCCAGGTATTGAATTATCTATCATTAGTTTTTATTTCATTTTTTTGCGTGTGTAAAGTCTCATAGCAATAAAATTTGAGAGCTAGGAAGTAATTATCTTTGATACTCTGTTGATATCCAAGATATTTTAAAAAATTATTTTTTAAATCAGCAAACTGAACAATGTTATATCAAACTGATTTCTATATGTGAATGCATGTTTCCAAATTTAGTGTGAAATCCAACCTGTGTCCAAACAACAAAATCTCACCCCTTTTCCTCCCCAAAATCTTGTTCTGCTTATTGGCAGCAACTTCTGGCGTAGATTTGTGTGATGGGTATATTTTTATTTACACAAAAAGAAGACTGGGTTTCCCCCCAAATAACTTACTTTTAAAATGGAAGTGTTTGTTTATATTCGACTGAGAATAATGAATGTGGAAACAGATGAACTTTCTTCAGTCTAATGTTCCTTTTTGTGTGGGAGGATTATCTTAAATTCAGATACTTTTTTCCTTTTAGGGAAGTGCAGAATTTTTTTTTAAATGATGGCTTCACTTAACATAGTGGTCCCCAATCTTTTTGATACCAGGGACCAGTTTCTTGGAAAACAATTTTTCTACAGACTGCGGGCTGAGGAGGGAGAAGGAGCTCCAACCTAGATCCCTCACATACGCAGTTTACAGTAGAGTTTGCGCTCCTATAAGAATCTGGTGCTGTGAGATGGAGCTGAAGCTGTGATGCTGGCACTGGCGAGTGGCTGCAAATACAGATGAAGCTTCGCTTGTTTGCCCGCCATCCACCTCTAACTATGCAGCACAGTTCCTAACAGGCCACAGATTTGTACCTGTCAATGGCCTCATGGTTGGGGACCTCTGACTTAATACCAAAATGTTCTGACAAATGGTTATCCAACATCTTTTTAAAAACTTCTAGCGTTGGAGCATTCACAATTTCTAGGGGCAAGTTGTTCCACTGATAAATTGTTCTGTCAGGAAATTTCTCCTTAGTTCTAAGTTGCATCTCTCCTTCTTGTCCTGCCCTCAGCTGCTTTGGAGAATAGTTTGACTTCCTTTTTTTGTGGCAGTCCCTGAGATATTAGAACACTGGTAAAATTCTAATTCTAATTTTATGCAGTCAAACAGGGTTTTTTTTTGTCTGTTTCTGGATAAAACAAATATGCAACCGTTGTACACAACTAAAAGCTAAGGTCCAGCCTACTTTTGTCTGACTCCCATAAATCCATTCACATTTTAAGGCCATTGCAGTGATCCTTTAAAAGCAAGCCAATTAAGATTCCATCTGTTTCCCAGTTAAAATGAGTATAAACTAATTCAGGTGATAGCTCTTGTAGTTAGTTAATGACTATTCCTTTTCTCTCAGGCTGGTTTAAGCACAACTGCTAATTCAATCATTGCAAGTAAACTTGCCAAATTTATTCTTGACACCCAGTAAACAATCTGCTATTTAAAGAAAAATGGTATGGGTAAGGATAATTGTTTTGAAATTATTTTTCTTTACGAATATTTGAATTGATTGTTGGGCTGCCAAAACCACAGGTGAATTAGTTAGCCATACACATTTAAATAAAAATAATGGAAATAATATACCATGGAAACCTTGCTTTTTACATAGTTTTCACCATATAGTTTAATTTTGTTGGTTTGTTTTTAAATTTTCCAGGTGTCAACCATAACAAATAACAAAGGTTAATGTTTCTCTTTCTGCATCCTCAATTTCTAGTTCCTAATATTATGGAGTTAAACATTTAAAAGGGACATCTTACTAGGCATACCATGATCATGTATTGATTACTGAAGCTGTGCACTATGTGTGGGAGTTTGGGTATGAGAATATATAGGCTTGTGTCTATCCAATCACCAACATACGAAATGCTATATTAACACAAAGTTTGTGAAGGGAAGAGAGTGTTGCTATTAAGGACAATATTAAGATTATTGCTTCACTCTTAGTTTCTACTGTCCTTTACTGTTCACACCTTGCTTTTATTATCGAGGTGTAGTTTTGTTGCTGCAAAACCACCCCCAAATGGTACCACAGTGTAAAATTAACTGCTGCCATGAAGATCTATATGCTGATATCCTACACTTGTCTACTGTTACTTTTGCATACCAAAAGATGGAACCAATGTTGAGGAAAGATTCACTAGAAGTACTTCTTCCAGATATTCTCTACTTAATAAATACCTCTTGTGGTTCTTGAACAAGAAATTACTTTGGCTACATGTGCAAATGAAGTGCTATTCCTTCCCTGACCATCTTTATTCAGATATATTTTGGCTGCTTTGTTATCATCTGTGGGCAGAGTTGTATGAGCCCTCAGGAATGTTGTCCCAAAGGTAAAGATGCAACTGGACTTTCTGATTTTTCTTTGAAAACATTTTGCTTCTCATCCAAGAAGCTTCTTCAGCTTTTCTGTTGAAGAAGCTTCTTGGATGAGAAGCAAAATGTGAAAAAACAGGGAGTCCAGTTGCCTCTTGAAAAACCATCTCTGGGACAACCATGGCCTGGATTACTGAGAATCCCCATAGACCTTCAGGAACATTCCATTCTGTGCAATGCAAGCTTCATTCATAATAACCACCCATCTTAGCAAGTGACTTTTCCATCCATCTGCACATGGCAATACTAAATGGTATGCTTGCAACTGCCTGACAAGCCACAGGGTGATGGCAGGTCTTCACTGAGTAGGGGTGGAAAGTTCATAGGTCACACAAAATTCTTCATTTTTTTTTTCTGTGTCTGCTGAAAACCTAG